CAAAGAAAATAGGAACCTTGAAAAAAGATTGGACGAACTGCTGACGAGAATGGACAGCATAGAGAGGAGTATAAGTGAATTGATGGAGCTAAAAAACGCAACACGAGAACTTTGTGAAGCATGCACAAGCTTCAACAGCCGAATTGACCAAGCAGAAGAAAGGATATCAGAGGTCGAAGATCAACTCAATGAAATAAAAAGAGAAGGCAAGAACAGAGAAAAAAGCGCAAAAAGGAATGAACAAAATCTTCAAGAAATGTGGGACTATGTGAAAAGACCTAATCTACGTCTGATAGGTGTACCTGACTGTGATGAAGAGAATGAATCCAAGCTGGAAAATACTCTTCAGGATATTATCCAGGAAAACTTCCCCAACCTAGCAAGGCAGACCAATATTCAAATCCAGGAAATACAGAGAACACCACAAAGATATTCCTCAAGAAGAGCAACCCCAAGGCACATAATCGTCAGATTCACCAGGGTTGAAATGAAAGAGAAAATGCTAAGGGCAGCCAGAGAGAAAGGTCGGGTTACGCACAAAGGGAAGCCCATTAGACTCACAGCAGATCTCTCAGCAGAAACCCTACAAGCCAGAAGAGATTGGGGGCCAATATTCAACATCCTTAAAGAAAAGAACTTTCAACCCAGAATCTCCTATCCAGCCAAACTAAGCTTCATAAGTGAAGGAAAAATAAAATCCTTTGTGAACAAGCAAGCACTCAGAGATTTCATCACCACCAAACCTGCTCTACAAGAACTCCTGAAAGAGGCTCTACACATATAAAGGAACAACCAGTACCAGCCACTCCAAAAACACACCCAATGGTAAAAAAGCATCAACACAATCAAGAATCTGCATCAACTAACCAACAAAACAGCCAGGTAGCATCAAAATGACAGTATCAAATTCACACATAACAATACTATCCCTAAATGTCAATGGACTAAATGCCCCAATCAAAAGACACAGACTGGCAAATTGGATAAAAAGCCAAAACCCATCAGTGTGCTGTCTCCAGGAAACCCATCTTACATGCAAGGATACACAAAGGCTCAAAATAAAGGGATGGAGGAAGATCTACCAAGCAAATGGAGAGCAAAAAAAGGCAGGAGTTGCAATTCTCATCTCTGATAAAATAGACTTTAAAGCAACAAAGATCAAAAGAGACAAAGAAGGACATTACATAATGGTAAAAGGATCACTGCAACAAGAAGAGCTAACGATCCTAAATATATACGCACCCAATACAGGAGCACCCACATACATAAGGCAAGTTCTTAATGACTTACAAAGAGACTTGGACTCCCACACAATAATAGTGGGAGACTTTAACACCCCATTGTCAATATTAGACAGATCATCCAGACAGAAAATCAACAAGGATATCCAGGACCTGAATACAGACCTGGAACAAGCAAACCTAATAGACATTTACAGAACTCTCCACCCCAAATCCACAGAATATACATTCTTCTCAGCACCACATCACATCTACTCTAAAATTGACCACATAATTGGCAATAAATCACTCCTCAGCAAATGCAAAAGAACAGAAATCATAACAAACGGTCTCTCAGACCACAGTGCAATCGAGTTAGAACTCAGAATGCAGAAACTAACTCAGAACCGCACAGCTTCATGGAAACTGAACAACTTGCTCTTGAATGTTGACTGGATAAACAATGAAATGAAGGCAGAAATAAAGATGTTCTTCGAAACCAATGAGAACGAAGACACAACATACCAGAATCTCTGGGACACATTTAAAGCAGTCTCTAGAGGAAAATATATAGCAATGAGTGCCCACATGAGAAGAAAGGAGAGATCTAAAATTGACACCCTATCATCAAAATTGAAAGAGCTAGAGGAGCAAGATCAAAAAAACTCAAAACCTAGCAGAAGACAGGAAATAACTAAGATTAGAGCAGAACTGAAGGAAATAGAGACACAAAAAACTCTTCAAAAAATCAATAAATCCAGGAGCTGGTTCTTGGAAAAGATCAACAAAATAGACAGACCACTAGCCAGATTAATAAAAAAGAAAAGAGAGAATAACCAAATTGATGCAATAAAAAATGATAAAGGGGATATCACCACAGATTCCACAGAAATCCAAACCATCATCAGAGATTATTACAAACAACTCTATGCACATAAACTAGTAAACCTGGAAGAAATGGATAAATTCCTGGACACCTGCATCCTCCCAAGCCTAAACCTGGAAGAAGCCGAAACCCTGAATAGACCAATAACATGGTCTGAAGTCGAGGCAGCAATAAAGAGCCTACCACCCAAAAAAACCCAAGGTCCAGATGGGTTCACAGCTGAATTCTACCAGACATACAAAGAGGAGCTGATACCATTCCTTCTGAAACTATTCCAGACAATCCAAAAAGAGGGAATTCTTCCCAAATCATTTTACGAGACAAACATCATCCTGATACCAAAACCCGGCAGAGACTCAACAAGAAAAGAAAATTTCAGGCCAATATCCATGATGAACATAGATGCAAAAATCTTCAATAAAATACTGGCAAACCGATTGCAACAGCTTATCAAAAAGCTCATCCACCATGATCAAGTAGGATTCATCCCGGGGATGCAAGGCTGGTTCAACATACGCAAGTCCATAAACGTAATTCACTACATAAACAGAACCAAAGACAAAAACCACATGATTATCTCAATTGATGCAGAGAAGGCTTTTGACAAAATTCAACAACCCTTTATGCTAAAAACCCTCAATAAACTAGGTATTGATGGAACGTATCTCAAAACAATAAAAGCTATTTACGACAAACCAACAGCCAATATCATACTGAATGGGCAAAAACTGGAAGCATTCCCTTTGAAATCTGGCACTAGACAAGGGTGCCCTCTCTCACCACTCCTATTCAGTATAGTACTGGAAGTTCTAGCCAAAGCAATCAGGCAAGAAAAAGAAATAAAGGGTATCCAAATTGGAAAGGAGGAAATAAAATTGTCGCTATTTGCAGATGATATGATTGTATATCTGGAAGACCCCATCATCTCAGCCCAAAATCTCCTGAAACTGATAAACAACTTCAGCAAAGTCTCAGGATACAAAATCAACGTGCAAAAATCACAAGCATTCCTATACACCAGTAATAGACTTCAAGAGAGGCAAATCAAGAACGAACTGCCATTCACAATTGCTACAAAGAGAATAAAGTACATAGGAATACAACTAACAAGGAACGTAAAGGACCTCTTCAAGGAGAACTACAAGCCATTGCTCAACGAAATAAGAGAGGATACAAACAGATGGAGAAACATTCCATGTTCATGGTTAGGAAGAATCAACATCGTGAAAATGGCCATACTGCCCAAAGTAATTTACAGATTCAACGCTATTCCCATCAAGCTACCAATGACCTTCTTCACAGAACTGGAAAAAACACCTTAAACTTCATATGGAACCAAAAGAGAGCCCACATAGCCAAGTCAATTCTAAGCAAAAAGAACAAAGCAGGAGGCATCACACTACCGGACTTCAAACTATACTACAAGGCTACAGTAATCAAAACAGCATGGTACTGGTACCAAAACAGAGATATAGACCAATGGAACAGAACAGAGGTCTCAGAGGAAATACAACATACCCACAACCATCTGATCTTCGACAAACCTGACAAAAACAAGCAATGGGGAAAGGACTCCCTGTTTAATAAATGGTGTTGGGACAACTGGCGAGCCATGTGCAGAAAGCAGAAACAGGACCCCTTCCTGACACCTTACACCAAAATTAACTCCAGATGGATTAAAGACTTAAACATCAGACCTAATACCATAAAAACCTTAGAAGAAAATCTAGGCAAAACCATTGAGGACATAGGTGTAGGCAAGGACTTCATGACCAAAACACCAAAAGCAATGGCAACAAAAGCCAAAATAGACAAATGGGACCTAATCAAACTCCACGGCTTCTGCACGGCAAAAGAAACAGTCAGTAGAGTGAATCGGCAACCAACAGAATGGGAAAAAATTTTTGCAGCCTACCCATCTGACAAGGGGCTGATATCCAGAATTTACAAAGAACTAAAGCAGATCTACAAGAAAAAAACAAACAAGCCTATTCAAAAATGGGCGAAGGATATAAACAGATACTTTACAAAAGAAGACATACAGGAGGCCAACAAACATATGAAAAAATGCTCATCATCACTGGTCATCAGAGAAATGCAAATCAAAACCACATTGAGATACCATCTCACACCAATTAGAATGGCGATCATTAAAAAATCGGGAAACAACAGATGCTGGAGAGGATGTGGAGAAATAGGAACACTTTTACACTGTTGGTGGGAATGTAAATTAATTCAACCATTGTGGAAGACAGTGTGGCGATTCCTCAAGGACCTAAAAATAGAAATCCCATTTGACCCAGCAATCCCATTACTGGGTATATATCCAAAGGATTATAAATCATTCTACTACAAGGACACGTGCACACGAATGTTCATTGCAGCACTGTTTACAATAGCAAAGACCTGGAACCAACCCAAATGCCCAACGATGATAGACTGGATAGGGAAAATGTGGTACATATACACCATGGAATATTACACAGCCATCAAAAACGATGAGTTCACGTCCTTTGTAGGGACATGGATGAACCTGGAAACCATCATTCTCAGCAAACTAACACAAGAGCAGAAAATCAAACACCGTATATTCTCACTCATAGGTGGATGTTGAACAATCAGAACACATGGACACAGGGAGGGGAGCACTACACACTGGGGTCCGTTGGGGGGAAATGGGGGAGGGGTGGGGGGGTGGAGAGGTGGGAAGAGATAGCATGGGGAGAAATGACAGATACAGGTGAGGGGACGGAAGGCAGCAAACCACACTGCGAAGTGTGTACCTATGCAACAATCTTGCATGTTCATCACATGTACCCCAAAACCTAAAATGCAATTAAAAAAAAAATTAAATTTTACAATGAAATGAAAAATAAAATCTCAAGGGTACTTACCGAACTGCATGCCCCAATCGCCAAGGTAATTTATTCTTATTACTTGATGTCCTAAAGCTTCTTTGAGATTTGCTATAAAATTTCCTAGTAATCAATAAAGTATACAGTTTCTCATTCCTGTTATCCATTTTTGACATAAGAACCATGTACTTCTCTATTATTAAAGCATAAGTAGAAAATTCTTTTCAGAAAATTTACCAACTCAATGTTTTTTACTATAACATTCATCATTGTGTTTTCATATGTTATAGAAAGGGTTTAAGAAATTACTGGTAGAGCAGTTATTCCAAAGAATCTCACAATTTTCACAGTAAAAGAACGTTCACTAACATTATTAATAGGAGTTAAGGACACATAGAGTAACTGCTATTCTAGTCGATTCCAAGGACAGAAAAAAAAATTGGCTGGGAATGGCGGCTCACACCTGTAATCCCAGTACTTTGGGAGGCTGAGGCAGGCAGATGACATGAGGTCAACGTGGTGAAACCCTGTCTCTACTAAAAATACAAAAGTTACCCAGATGCAGTGTCAGGCACCTGCAACCCCAGCTACTTAGGAGGCTGAGGCAGAAGTGCTTGAAGCCAGGAGGCAGAGGTTGCAGTGAGCCGAGATCTTGCTACTGCACTCCAGCCTGGGTGACAAGAGCAAAACGCCATCTCAAAAACAACAATAAAATCCCAGTAACTAACATGAAATATATAATTTGTCTGTGCCCTAAGAACTGAAGCCTCACTGTTGTGTTTTCCTTGTTTTCTAAATAGTTCATTCTATCTCCTTTTAATCACTAACATCTATCCTCTGCATGCCTGCTCTCTAACAGCAAGTGAATCTAAGGCCTTCACTTTCCCATACTGCTGATGCTGGTTTCACACTCAACATCGATTCCGCTTTCCTTCTTGTGTGCCCTCATCTACTGACAAGGCTGAACCTAAAAACTACAATTCCCAGAGTCTCTTGTGGTTAGAGTTCCAGAAGTCGTCTAGGGTTGGGCAATCAGACACAGTCTGTTTAAGATTTGGAAGGGAAGCTACTTCTATTTTTACGGTAAGCACAGTTGCGGAGGCTTTGTTTTTTTGCGGCACCATGAACAGAGGTCCTAGTATTCTACGATGACCTCCAAAGAAATTGAAAGCATACGGGTCTGCCTCTTATGCCTAAAGGATTCTAGATGGTATGGCAGGAGTAGTGGCAGTTTCTTGACCATGGCAGTGGCAGCATGGTTCTAGAGCAGTGGAAGTGATTACAGAAGAGGCAGGAACTCCCTTGATAACACAGTTCTATGGTGCAGCTTTGCGAGTTATTTATGTCAGCTTAATCCAAAGCTTCTGCAGCCCTCGCAACAACTTTGTAAACCATTCAATATCCTATAATAAATCTCCTCCTGCCTTTCCTAAGAATGGATTTAGTTTTTTGCAAATAAACCCTCATCAATAGCCATACCTGACTTAAACTACTGCAGCTATCTTCTTTTCCAGCTTCCCTACTTCTAGACTTTCCCAATCTATAAAGTCCCAGCAACTGGAAACCCAGTTTTCCCAGTTGGTACACAGATGGCATATTCCTATTTTTTTCTTAGCCCCTTGCTATCTCACAAATCCAATTAAATGTCTGAACCTAGACTTCCGGAATTAGACTGCCTAATTTCAAATCCTGGCTACAATACTTCGGGATCTTGGGAAAGTTACTTTTGGTATCTGAATTTCTTCATGCATAAACCAGAGTTAACAGCATTTACCAAACTCGGCTGTCATAAAATTGAATAATACATGAAGGCACAGCATGGTAACTTCTCAAATATTATGTTTAACTGGTCCAAATATTTCCCTCAACTTAGAAAACAACTTTATTGTATGCTACCCATTATTTACTCACTCCTATACTTTTGACTTACTCACATAGCTTTTTTTATATTGTATATTTCTTATACTTTTTCATAAAGTCATTTCTTCTCTTAAAATGCTGCTCAAGAACAATGAGAGCTGACCCCACAACAATCTATGCCACAAGTACTAATTTCTCCATTTCTGAAAAGCATTGAAATATAGGTTAAACAACTTTCTCTTAAGCATGCAATAGACAGATTTCTACATTGGAAGTGAAATTAGATTGAGATAAACTCCAAATTCCCTTCCAATTCTAATATTATATAATTTTAATTTCAGTTTTTAAATTGACCTGCTGCATGTCATCTGTTAAATAAATAAAAACCATAAGTATATTACACATTGAAGCATTACAACAATGAAATAATATGTAGTAATCTCTCTTCATTGAAATTATCTTTTATTTATTTATTTTTTGAGATGAAATCTAGCTCTGTCACCTAGGCTGGAGTGCAGTGGTATAATCTCAGCTCACTGCAACCTCCGCCTCCCAGGTTCAAGCGATTCTCCAGCTTCAGCCTCTGGAGTAGCTGAGACTACAGGTACGTGCCACCATACCAGCTGATTTTTTTATTTTTAGTAAAGACAGGGTTTCACCGTGTTGGCCAGGCTGGTCTGGAACTCCTGACCTGAAATAATCTGCCTGCTTTGACCTCCCAAAGTGCTGGGATTACAGGTGTGAGCCACTGTGCCCAGCCAAAAATGGTCTTGTTTTAATTTCCAGTCTTGAACATTCTATTAAGTGCTTACATGTCTTAGGTGAATTTAACAAATTGTGTTTTGTAATTTAGACAAAACTTGTTAATGTATTTTATATAAACAAAATATACGAACAGGCCATGCGAGGTGGCTCATGCCTGTAATCCCAGTACTTTGGGAGGCAGAGGTGGGTAGATCACTTGAGGTCAGGAGTTCGAGACCAGCCTGGCCAACATGGTAAAACTCTGTCTCTACTTAAAAATACAAAAATTAGCCAGGTGTGGTGACTCACGCCTGTAATCCCAGCTACTCCAGAGGCTGAGGCAGGAGAATCTTCGAACCCGGGAAGCAGAGGTTGCAGTGAGCAGAGATTGCACCACTGCACTCCAGCTTGGGCAACAACAACTAAAACAAAACATAAAAAAACTTGAAGGGTTACACATCCCACATAACTCTTTTTACTTTTACATCTTTCAGGTCTTCTTCATATTTATACTTATTTTCAGAAAGTTAAAATCATAACATAAATAGAAGTTAAAATCAGTCTCTCAGTGAATCTTTCAGTTTTGAAATGAATTTCATGTTTCCATTGTTATTAACCAATTTTGCCCATTTCTTGTAATATTTAATTAGCATAAGGCTCATATAAATTTAAACTTTGTTTTTTGTCCTTTTGTTATTTAAGCATTAAACCATTAAATTGAACTATCAAATACTTCCTTGAAGACACAGATTTTCTGTGAAACTAAACACTTACCTATGATCGTAGAACGCAAATGTCCAACATGAAATTTCTTGGCAACATTAGGTGAACTGCCAAAAAAAAAAAAAAAAAAAATGGCAAAAGTTATTTCTCTATTCTAAGAATTAAGACTTCTAAGAATCAACTAGGTCATGCATCCATACTTTGACAAAACTGGGGAGTATGGCCTTTGGTAATTTAGGTCAAAGATAAGTTAAAAATTAAAAATTTACAGCAAAGATAAATTAGAACTCAAAATTTTGACATTTTCTTTGTGAAACTGAAACTGTGACTCCTGAATGTGATGTAAGTGGCTCAATTTAGGAAGAAAGTTTCTTAAGCACAGTGATCATATCTCTTGTTTTCTGGGAAATGTTGCTTGGTCTGTTCAGGATATTACATATTTTAAAAATTCTCTTCTCCCAACTCTCATTTTCAGAAGAAGTCCAAGAACAATGTTTTCTATCTATTTTAATCCTGTCCCCACCTATTTTGTCTCTACTTTGGAATCACAACAGCAAGAACTGCAGCATCTGGAAAACTTCTAAGGAGAGAGATGCAATGGTCTCACAACAATGCCACATGTAAACTGTCAGAGAGCAAAAATGGCTGCTAAGAGATAGACAGGCTCTGCCTTCACCAGCATTGAGACACTCATTTAAATACCAGCCTTCCTTAACTGTTTTAGAAAAAAGCTAAGAGGAGCAAATCTATAAGCAAATTAACTGCCATACAAAAAGCCTACAGAATACAACTCACATAGAACATGTTATTTTTAGATACTTCTTAGAAGTATAAACAAAAAGAAGCAGTATATGAGAAACCAAAACTTAAGAGAAAAGCCAGAGCATCGATGAGTAAGAAAGACTGAAGTCACAGTATTTCTAGAGCTTAGTTGGAGTAAAAGGATGGGGACGGTGAAGGAAAAAAATGCAAAAGAAGGTTAAGTACTGGGGGCAAGTTTTCAAATTTTAGGAAACTTACAATGGCATTGTTTCAAGGATGAATGTATAATAACTGGTAATATATTGCCTCCCTACTGATTTTCCTTTACCTGCCCGTTAGGTAATTGCAAGGGGTTTAAGAGTAATATGGTAATGAAGTGCCTTCCCAGAGAAGAAAGCAGTATGTCCGTTAAGTTAAAGACATTAATGAAAATGAAATAATCAATGATGATCACAAATTCTTTGCTTCTCTCACCATTAAGAGATCTACTCTATTTTTCTTCCCTTGAATCTGGGGTGATCCTGTGACTTGCTTTCATCAGCAGAAAGTGACAGAAATGATGCTGTCCCTGTTCCAAGACTAGATGTTTTCACTTTCTTAGAGCCCCGAGTACCTTCCTACAGAGGTCTTGCTACCCTGCTGGAGAGACAATGTGGTGGGAGAGACAGATGCCTGGCCAGAGAAGTGAATGAGCCACTTTTGATTTCCAGTCCCAGTAAAGTCTCCAGATGACCACAGTTACGTAAGTGACCTCAGGCAAGTAGAAGAACCACTGGCCTGAAACACTCCTCCCTCCCATTTCCTAATCCATGGTGTCAGGAGTACCAAAATGATTGTTGTTTTAAGATCCTAATCAGAAGCTGGCAAATTTTTTTCTTAAAGAGCCAGATAGTAAATATTTTAATAGGCTTTGGGCCATCTGATCTCTGTCAACTATTCTACTCAGCTCTACTCTGCTCAACTGCCACTGCAATAGGAAAGTAGCCAATGTAGATGATGTAAACAAGTGTTCATGGCTGTGTTCCAACAAAACTTTATTTGCAAAAACAGGTGGCAAACTGGATGTTGTCTATGCGCTGAAGTTTAACAATCCCTACATTAAGGTTTGCAGTGGTTTCTTATTCAAGAGATAAATAGAACAGGCAATTTTCCTTAGGAGATAGTGTAGTTCCCTTCTAGTGTGAGGATGACTGTATGAAGTCCCTCTACTCTTTGTGATGCAAGAAAAAGTTAAACTCAACTTTAAAAATCATAATGTGGTACGTTCGTAGTATAAGAGTCATTCATAATATGTGTCTACTCCATAGGAGCAGAAGTTTACTCAGTAATTGGTTATCATAAACTCATGAGTTTGGTCTTAGAGGGTCTGCCTTCTTTAAGAAGACAAGTGAGTGGCAGAGACAGTACACATGCATAAAACCCGCTCTTTCTTTGACTGTTCAGGAGCTAATCATAACTAAGTTTAAAAGCTGTTATCATAAACTGCAATAATGAGTTAGTAAACATGCGACACTATTTCCCATATCAATTTTTAAAAATCTTCCACAAAAATAAATACTTAAGACAAAAGGGTCTTAGCAAGTTCTATCTTTCTAAGTAGAAAAACAGTTCATCAAGACTGTTCTTCAGCATTAGGAAGACAAATGCAACATCTCTGACAATTTCCTAGGGTTGTCAGTCTGTCAGCTGTACAAAAAAGTATTAGTTCTTAAGTGTTCCCTTTTCTTTCCTGGTTACCTCAAACAGTACAAATACCAGACAGTTATACTGACAGCATGTTAGAAAGTTCTATGAAGACTAGAGGAAAACTGAAACTTCAAGCTATTTTTCTGGTAATTAAAAAAATATATTTATTACAAATACTATTAAGTCTTTGTTTCTCTGGTAATCAAATTACTTAAAAAAAATTTTTTTTGACACAAGATCTTGGTGTGTCTCACCTGAGCTAGAGTGCAGTGACGATCACAGCTCACTGTAACCTTGAATTCCTAGGCTCAAGTAATTTTTCCTCCTGAGCCCCCCAAGTAGCTGTGACTACTACAGGAGAGTGCCACCATGCACAACTAATTTTTCTATTTTTTTTAAGAGGTAGGGTCTCATTATGTTGCCCAGGCTGGTCTTGAACTGGTCTCAAATGATCTTCCTGCCTTGCCTTCCAAAGTGCTGGGATTACATTCTGAGCCACTATGCCCAGCTAATTTTTGTATTTTTAGTAGAGACGGGGTTTCACCATGTTGACCAGGATGGTCTCTATCTCTTGACCTCATGATACACCCGCCTCAGCCTCCCAAAGCGCTGGGATTATAGGCGTAAGCCACAGTACCTAGCCCCCCAAAAATATATTTTTATTCATAGTTTAACAATCAATTCACTGTGATTTCAAGAAATAATATAATTGCACTGGTTTTCAAGATTTCCATATGCTATTTTAAGACCCCAAAACACTCCTCTGCCCAGTTAGCTTGATTAAGCAACATAAAAAGGGGGTGCACTCTCACCTGAATTCAACCACAATCTTATTCTGGGGAAGATCAGAGAAAAGTTCACTTTTTAATCCATATTTTGAGCCATCTTCAATGACTTGTTGTAATACCATCTGAAAATTAAAGGAGTATAATTTAATGAACAAAAATTCCAATGCTTTTAATTACTCTTACCAAGAATTAAATGTTGCTAATTTTTTCATTTTTTTAAAATAAATGATTATAGTAGTTTTATTCATAATCAACAAAAATTATAAACAACCTAAATGTCCTTCAATGGGTTAATGGTTAAGAATACTGTGGTACATTACAAGGAAAACTACTCATCAATAAAAAGGAATAAATAACACGACAATTATGAATATCAAAGCCTTTTACTCAATTTGGGGTGGGGAGCCAGTCATGAAAAAAAGCACAAGGGGAATTTGTTGGTGCAGTGGAATTGTTCTGTACCCTTTGTGGTGATTTTTGCACAAGTCTACATAGGTCATTTTAAGACAGAACTGTGGAAGGAAGAAAGGAGAAAGGGAGAAATCAAGAAAAAGGGGTGAAAGGAGGAGGAAGACGCGTAGGAGGAGGGAGGAGAGGAGGAGAAGGAGGAACGATTGTAACCACACACAATTACAGTGGTAGTTACAAGAGTAATATCTTTGTCAAACATAGCAAACACCTTTAAGTGGGTGAATTTTATTGTATACTTTGATAAAAGCCGATTCTGCAAAAGTTCAAAAAGTTATTTTAAAAGACTAGTAAAATTGACAAGTCTCTAGAAACATGATCAAGAGAAAATGTGAGGATACAAATAAGCCATATCAGGAAAGAAAAAAGGGACATAAGTTCAGATAGAACAAGTACTTGAAAATAAAAATATTTTAAATAATTCAATGACCAAAAAGGATACATTTTTAGAAAAACCTGTAACTTCCTAGGAGAAACAGTAAATCTAAATAGCCCCTAAAACTACTCAAACCACATATTACAACCACAATAATCCCAGTTTAACGATGAATGCAACTGAAATTCGAGGGATACAAACTCCCCCAGAGATTGGGGGAAAAAAAAAAAATCAACAAATTGGGTAAATCCCAGGAATGCAAGGATTCTTTAACATCAGAAAATCAATGTACTTTACCATATTAATAGATTAAAAGAAATCATATGATTAGCTCAAAAGATACGGATTTTACCAGGATCCCAGAAAACTTATTTAAAAATATAAAAAGCTTCATTCCATCATATTCACAGTTGTTTCTATTGGGCTACACCAGTGTGGAGCATACACGACAGACATGTCCTCTTCTAAATGACTCTATCAATAATACCTAAGAGTTATATAGCATCTGATAGCTCACAAATCACATTGCATCCATTTTCTACCTAACTCTAGTCATTCTCAAATAGGCATTAAATTTAAAAACATATATCTATAAGGAAACAGACTTCAAAGGATGAAAGTGACTTGTCCCAAATCCCAATTATTTTCATTCTTTGTTGATTCCTTATATCATATGTCATATGGCAAATTAAAATGAACAGAGAGCCACATGTAGATAATATATAACTGGAAAAAATATCCAAAACTCTTAAGTCCAGTTCTCCAGTGCTTCTCATACACTTTTTGAACAAAAAGACAAATTTTAAAAATTTAACCCTATGTTTTATATTGTTAGTCATATCTATCCTTCTCAAGTTTATAACCTACAATTAAATGCTGGTGATTCCTCAATTTAAAAACTATAGTTCCTTCAAAGCTAGATGAAGCAGGCTGATAGTTTCTACTTATCAAATTGGAAGCTTATCTTCAGGAACCCAGTGAGGATTTGTTTTGGTACCTTTTCCTAACTGCTTACAAATGACTTGCATATACCACAAACTCTTAGGTTATATACCACAAACCCTATGTATACCACAACTTGATATGTGATTTCAGTGTCAAGCATAAAAATGTCACGGGAAAGGTGGAGCACTACTTTCTCCTATTGCTCTCACTAAGTACAGCTAAAAATCCTGGATATTATATACGAAGCAAACATAAAAAGGTTCTAAAAGATGGAGAGAGAATGGAGTGACTAGGGACCTCAGAACTCAAGGAAGAAAACAGCGTGACTTTCTTGGGTTTTCTTATTGCCTAATCTATCCCAGACTGGGTTCTGACAGAGAAGCTGACCACCTGGAAATGCCAACAGACACCAACAACAGAAAAAAAAAAAAAGGCCAAGACAAGTCTGGTTTTTTTAGCAAAAGGACTGGGAAGGGAGCAGCCTAGCAAGACAGAAAATCACAATCCTACTTCAAAGACCACAGAAGAAAGCTGTGGTCCTAGCCACACCAACAAAGGCCTATACTTCCACCCTCACCAGGCTGTAACAAGCCTTAATTATTTTAACTAAGAAAGAAAGAAAAGGTTAAGTCTTGCAGAAAAGAACTTTTCCACTTCACAGTTAACCTGTTAACTGCTGCATGCTGCTGCTGCAGCTTTTGTGATATTAAGGACCACAAGTAATGGTAGGAAAAAGATAAAAATGTATAATTAAATATCTATTGGCTGCACAAGTGAGAAAAAAGGAAATCCCACAGAAACTTCCAAAACATGTTCCAGGTTAGTTTTTAGTTATTAACATAGAACTATTGTATAGTTCACAAAATTCATATTTTATTTTTTATTAATAGTAATAAACTTTTGTTTACTCATATCAATTGGTTTCGTTTCCCCAACTGCATCTATATTTTACTTTTATTTTTATATTTTTGAGACAGAGCCTTACTCTGTCTCCCAGGGGGCTGGAGTGCAGTGGTGCAGTCATAGCTCACTGCAGCCTCAACCTCTCAGACTCAAGAGATCCTCCTACCTACGCAATTCCACAACCTCAGCTTCCAGAGTAGCTGGGACTACAGCACAAGCCACCACACCTGGCTAATTACAATTTTTTTTTTAATATAGACAGGGTCTCACTCTGTTGCCCAGGCTGGTCTTGAACTCCTGGGCTCAACTGATCCTCCCGCCTGAGCCTCCCAAAGTGCTGGGATTACAGGTGTGAGCCACCATGCCTGGCCCAAAAATGCATCTTGAGTCCTAAAAATGTGGTTTATGTTATGAAAAACTTTATTATCAAAGAGTTGGTAAAGTGGTCTCCAAGTCGAACAAGCAGAGAGGTCTCCAAGTCGAACAAGCAGAGACCAGAGCAGCAAGCAGTAAAACAGTAAATAACAATTTACATTTAAGAAGCATCTATAGAGTGCTAGGTCCAAGACCGGATGCTTCTACACTGTATGTTGTCTTTAAGCCTCATAATCTTAAAGATGGGCAGCATTTGCCATTTAATAGATGCAAAAACTAAAGTTCAGAACTAGTATGTATGTGCACAAGGACATAGAGAAAATAATATTCTCCTGACTCATATTATACAATAAGAAACAGATAAAGGATTAATACAATATATAGACTGTATACAGAATAGTGTCTGTCATAAACTAGGGACCCAATAAATATTATTAGTCCAAGAATATGTATGACAAGAACACTGCAACTGAAGAAGTAAACATCAGTAAGAAGAAATCCACATTGAGATTATTCTAAGTTGAAAGTCTACAAATCTTTCACTTCTTATCCTTTTTATATAATCCATGGTAGACTCCACAATAGTTCATAGCAGTAAGTTAGAACTTTCTGTAAAAATAACTCTCTCTAAACTGATTTCTCTGGCACAAACAACAAAAAGGCAATGGTAATTATTTTTGGCCAGAACTTCCAATACAATGCTAATAGAAGTGGTGAGAGAGGACTTTCTTGTCTGTGCCAACTAAAAAGAGATGTGAAGGACCTCTTCAAGGAGAACTACAAACCACTGCTCAAGGAAATAAAAGAGGACACAAACAGATGGAAAAACGTTCTATGCTCATGGTTAGGAAGAATCAATATTGTGAAAATGGCCATACTGCCCAAAGTAATTTATAGATTAAATGCTATCCCCATCAATCAACCACTGACCTTCTTCACAGAACTGGAAAAAACACCTTAAAATTCATATGGAACCAAGAAAGAGCCCACATAGCCAAGACAATCCTAAGAAACAAACAAAAAAAGCTGGAGGCATCAATCTACCTGACTTCAAACTATACTACAAGGCTACAGTAATCAAAATAACAATGGTACTGGTACCAAAACAGAGATATAAACCAATGGAACAGAAAAGAGGCCTCAGAAGTAACGCCACACATCTACAACCATCTGATCTTTGACAAATCTGACAAAAACAAGCAATGGGGAATGTATTCCCTATTCAATAAATGGTGTTGGGAAAACTGGCTAGCCATATGCAGAAAGCTGAAACTGGACCCCTTCCTTACACCTTATACAAAAATTAACTCCAGATGGATTAAAGATTTAAACATAAGACCTAACACCATAAAAGCCCTAGAAGAAAACCTAGGCAGTATCTTTCAGGACATAAGCATAGGCAAGGACTTCATAACTAAAACACCAAAAGCAATGGCAACAAAGCCAAAATAGACAAATGGGACCTAATTAAATTTAAGAGCTTCTGCACAGCAAAAGAAACAATCATTAAAGTGAACCGGGAACCAAGAGAATGGGAAAAAAATTTTGCAACCTACTCATCTGACAAAGTGCTAATGTCCAGAATCTACAAAGAACTTAAATTGACAAGAAAAAAACAATCCCATCAAAAAGCGGGCAAAGGATATGAACAGACAGTTTTCAAAAGACATTTATTCAGCCAACAAACATGAAAAAAAGCTCATCATCACTGGTTATTAGAGAAATGCAAATCAAAACCACATTGAGATACCATCTCACGCCCAGTTAGAATGGTGATCATTAAAAAATCAGCAGACAATAGATGCTGGAGAGGATGTGGAAAAATAGGAACACTTTTACACTGTTGGTGGGAGCATAAATTAGTTCAACCATTGTGCAAGACAGTTTGGCAATTCCTCAAGGATCTAGAAATAGAAATACCATTCGACCCAGCAATCCCATTATTGACTACATACCCAAAGGATTATAAATCGCTCTACTATAAAGACACATGCACATGTATGTTCCCTATGGCACTGCTTACCATAGCAAAGACTTGGAACCAACCCAAATGCC